ACAATCTACCTGATATAAACAAGGATGCTTTCGTTTCTACACCATTAACGACAACGTCATCAAATCATCAGAAACACTCTTTCAAATTTGGTAATAGATAATAAATAGATAATCTATTTATTTATTAAAAATTTTTTTTTGGTTGATGCAATATTTATAATTAAATTATCTAGGAAACTAGCAGACACAAAAAATAGAGGAAGACTTGATGTAAATGAATTTATCATTGCAATGCATCTAATAAAACAGTATATGTCCAAAAATATCAAAGAAATACCACAAACTCTTCCAAGTGGATTTTATGAAATGGCTGCCGGCGTTAATCTTGATGTACTTGCATCATCAACATCACCATCACTTTTTTCTGGAAATTCATTAACTTCTTCTTTAAATCCAGATGGATTTAATACAAAATCTCCATTTATAGAACATCCATGGGATGTGACACTCGAAGAAAAAACAAAATATGATAAAATTTTTGATTCTATTGATCAAATGAAACATGGATTTTTAACAGGTTAATAACAATTTTTTTTTTTTTGATTTATATATAATTTTTTCTTTAAATTTAGATTTTAAATTGGTATAGGTGACGAGGCAGCAAAAATTTTTGTGAAAGCAAATTTGGATCAAAACACATTGGCAATGATATGGTTGTAGTTCGTTTAGTATTTCTTTAAAAAAAAAATATATATATATTTTTTTTTAAATAATATATTTATATTTGTACTTTTTTTTTTTAGGAACCTTTCTGACATAGATAAAACTGGACGTCTTAATCACGAGAAATTTGCTGTTGCTATGCATTTGATCCAAAAAAAGGCTAAAGGATTTCCATTACCAAACATTTTGCCAACAAGTCTTACTCCACCATCAATGCGTCATACTACTGGTAAAATTTTCCTAAATAAAAATCATCTGAAAATAAAATCATCATCATTAACATTTATATATATATATATATAATAATGTATCAATCTAAATTTTAAAACAATCGATACAAAACA